TCATTATTGTGTTTTGGTGCCATTAATATGCAAAATGAGGTTTTATTTTTTTATGTTTTAGTCTTGTTGTTATTTTCTTATTTATTTATTTATTTATCTAATTGTTGGTGCACATTAGTAATACAGATTGGTGAGGTTCATTTTGGTAAACTGATACTTTACTTAACATCACAATCTTTTTCTATCATATTCTCTCCCTCTCCCTTTGATCCTTATCCAGTTGATCCACTTCCACATCTCCAAAATTTACCTTCTATCTCCTTCCTTTTTCCTTTTTTTTCCTTTCTTCCTCTCTCTGCCTCTCTCTTCTTTTGTAGCTCTGTGTCTGAGAAAATGGAGTGTTTACATGAGAGTCCATTATGCAACTTAGAATTTATGAATTGTCTATTTCTAGAATTTTTTCCTTATATTTTTATAACATAGTTGATCTAATGTAGCTGAAACTGCAAAAGGAAGCAACATATAAAGGAAACTATGCATTAGGATTTGTTCAATCATCAATGTAAAATAAACCAAATTGTTAAAGGAAGTTCATGTCTCATGGTAAGGAAGAGGGAACCATGGACTAGAAGCTAAGGTGCAAGCAAATTTATTTAAAATACATAAAGGCAAGAAAATAAAAGATATAAAGGCAAAGACTAAAGTTTCTGCTCGCCAAGAGGGCATTCTGAGTAGGATACACATGAGGGCTCTTTGTCTAGGAGTTTTTAAGGGATTTAGAAAGGAGCTCAGGCCATTGTGTAAGTAATATAAACTCTACTCTATAGATGATACAAGTTTCTTTTAGAATCCAATCTATGCAGTTTTCATACAGTATCCATGAAGGTCTATGTGCCTTTGAGCCAATAGCTCATATGATCATGCTCTAGGCAGGTCTTAGATAGCTGAGGGATATCTGGCAAATGTGCAAGGTTCCTGGTGGGCTGTGATTCAGCAGACGCCATTTTGGGTTTCCCAATTCCACTTTGAGACTACCTGTCTCACCAATACCGTAACAAAATTATGCTGATACCTGAACATCATTTGATAAAGTCAATTCACATAATAGTGATTTTAAAATAATTAAATAATATTTATTTCCTGGCTCTTCCAAAAGAAAAATAGGCAGACATCCTTCTTCAATCACCATCTACTTGGTCCAGGCTACAAGCCCATTGGCTATTGCTACCCATGTTTAGGGTAAGTCTTCCCTCCTTTGTTTCTAGTCTATGTGTCAATCATCCACAGAGCTTTATTAATCTGCTAGGTGGTTTTTATTCAATTCAAGTTGACACATCACACTTAATGAACACATTGTAACATTTGAATAATGAAAAGAGAGAAGAAAAAGAGAGAAAGTAGAAGAAATATATATAAAAGGATAATGACTGAGAATCTCATCCAAACTAATTCTAGACACCGGATCAAATAACTCAGAAGTTAGAGAACACCAAGTAGGATGAAAAACAAAAAAAATACCCACAGGTATATTTCAAATTATGAAGAAACAAAAATGAAAAAAAGCCCCTAAAGAAGCCAAAGGAAACAAAACATCTTGACTATAAAACAACAAAGATAACATTACATGTGATTTATCTTCAGAAACCATCCAGTCAAGAAGGAAGTGTTGACATTAATGAACTCAACATCACTGACAATCAACTGGATACAACTGATATTAATAGGCTACATCATTAAGTAAAATGGGATACACGTTCTTCTCAAGTTCTCATGGAACATTCCAAAGATAGACAATATTTTGGCCCATAACTAGACTGTAGAAATTTTTAAATATTGGAATTTATGCAATGGAATTAGAATAGAAAATAATGACAAAGCTTAATAAGAAAATTCACAAAATACATGCAGATTAAACAAAATAATAAATAGGAAACGGCTAAAAGAATTTTTAAGAGGAAACTACTTGAACTAAATAAAATGAAAACAACTCACCACAATTTATGGTATGCAGAGAAAGCAATGATTACAGGGAAATTTTCAGCACTTACTATATAAATTGTAAATAAAAAATGATCTAAAAATTAATAATCTTGCTTGCCACTTCAGGAAACTAGAGAAAGAAGAATAAATTCAATACAGAGTGTGCAGAAGAAATAGAATAAAAAGAATTAGAATAAACATTTACTGACAGTAAATATAGGATATAAATAGAATAAATGTAACAAAAACTACTTGAAAAGATTAATGAAATTGATAACACTTTTCCAGGCAAATTATGAAAAAAAGAGAGAGTACAGAAATTACTAAATTTAGAAATGAAAAAGGGAACAGCTCCAAAGATCCTCATGATATTAAGAAGATAATGAAGGATTCCTAAAAGTATCTCTATCATATCAATTTATAACCTAGATAAAATGGACCAATTCCTTGAAATGCAAAATCTACTACAAAAGAAAAATAAATACACAAAAATACATAGCTATTAATAAAAATGAAATCATAATTCTTATCATTTCAAAACAGAGTTACAGGCCAGATGAGTTCACTGGTGAGTTCAACCAAATTTAATCAAGAAATTATATTAATTCTCTGTAGTGTCTTTCAGAGGATAAAACAGAATATTTCATTTTGGCTTCTGAGTCTAGTATTATTTCAACAACAAGGGAAGACAAAGACATTAGAAGAAAACTACAGACATTTATCTCTCATAATGATAGATGCAAAAAAAAATAGAAAATAGAATCCAACAATGTAAAAAAGAACTTACTTTTATCCCATGTATGTAAGTCTGGCTCAATGTTTGAAAATCAATGCAATCCATTATATCAACAAGGTCAAAGGTAAAAGTCAAGGAGCATTGTAGAGAAAGAGTTCATGGCAAAGCAGGGCAGGCAGAAGGCAGCAAGAAGCAAGCAAGCGAGTGGCCAGCAACAAGTGAGGACCCTCTTTCTGTCCCTTATATTACATCCAGGCTACCCATCCTTAGGGTAGACAGCATTCACATGCAGGGTGGGGGCACCCTTAATCCTACCCAGAACTATGCCAAACCCATCAGTGGACTAATTTAATAATCATACACCCTTGACACCCTTGATCCTGGCATCACACAGTCCAGATCCAGCCACTGCCAAAAAGCCCCACCTGTGACCGCATGAGGCTTTGGGGAGACATCTAAACACAAGCCATAACACTCACATGCTAAGCAGGAGCTTTACCACTAAGCTGTGAAAGTTTTTTTATTGACCACCATATCCCTGACTTATGAACATTTGAGTTGCAAGCTTTCACAGATACAAATGGACTTCAAATTATATAGATGGGAAAAAATTGAGAAAGTAGCTCACATGTCTGTGGGACACTGTCACAGTTGTGCTGCTGTGTGCTTATTATACAGTGTGATGGTGTACAGTAGTACAGTGCTCAGAGCCCAGGATTTCTGGAAGCAAGAGGAAAAGCAGTGGTGATGTAGAGGGGACTGCTTGAAAGCAAGGCACTACACATTGTGTCAAAGGGTATGTAAGACTCACTTTGTCAGACTTACAAATTAATCTGACTTATGAATGTTCTCCCAGAATGGAACTTGGCCTCAAACTCCTGGCAATTCTCCTGCCTCAGCCTCCTGACTACTGGAATTACAGCCGTGCACCACCATGCCCAGCAGTTTCATTTTTTTTTTTAAACCAGTTTCATTTTTGAGAGGAAAAAAAAATCTTTCTTGCGATTTTAGGACTTTAGTTGTTAAAAATTCTTTTGAGTTATCAATGGAATTGATCAAACAGCATAAAATCATGCACATTAATTGTTAAAATGGAATATTTGATAAGAGAACAGGTAATGTTCATGGCGCCTTGAGAAAAGAAATAGCCCACATGTCTATTTAAGATTGGAAAGACTGGCGATTTCATGGCTGAGAATCATATCTTTTTCTTTCTTTCTCTTTTTAATTTTAATTTAATTTAATTTTTTTAGAGGGAGAAAGGTCTACTATGTCTAAGGGAAGGAAAAAGGGGAATGTCTCCTGCAGGCGTTTACCCGGAAGCCAGTTTTGGGAGAGCTGAGGGTCTAGAACTAAGCCCCTTCCACCTCTCACGTCTGCGGGCTTCACTGGAGGAGGCGACGCGGGTCTTCCTGAAGGGGGCCGAGCCCAGGACTCGCTCCCCAGGGGAGCGGGAGCAGGGGATGCCGCGGTGGCGGCGACTCGGGCCGGGACCTGCGTGCGTCCGGCTGCCCGGCCTGCGCTGGCCCTGCGGCCTCCTGGGCGGGCGAGGCGGGCGTCACAGGCTCCGTGCCCTCCTCGGTTCTTCGCAGCTGTCCCGGAGCAGGAGCGGCCGAGACCGGGGCGTCCGGGCCGTCGCACGGGTCCGTTGGGCCTGGACCCCGCGGGGAGCCACGCAGATCCCGCCGGCCAGGTCGCTCGTCGGTCGGGCGGCGCGGCCTGGACCGCAGACCGACAGGCGGCACGGCGACTCCTCGGCGCGGGGCGCGGCGTCTCGGCAGCTGCTGGACAGCGGCAAGAGGCGGCCGCCCTCGGCGGGCCGGGAGACGCGGGCGGGGACGCAGAGAAGCAGGGCTGGAAGGCAAAGAGTTTATTCCCCGCCTCGGACCCTCCGGCCCTCCCTGAGGTCCCACACAGCCCCGGAGAACTCAATTCCTTTTCCACCTGCCCGCCCCGCTCCCCCGCTCGGAAAGGCGGCTCAGTCCTCCCGCGGGCGACTCACCGCCCGTTAGGCCCCAGACCGGAAGTTTCTGATTGGCGGAGAAGCAGAAGCCCCGGGTGAAAAGAGCTCCAAGGGCCACAGGCGAAACCATTGCCGTACGGGAAAATGGCGGCCCCCAGCTATTTCGGTAGCCCCGCCGGGGACAAGCCCCGCCCAGAACACGTCGGGAGTAAGGAGGTAGCTACAGACTAAGTAGGTGGCCACTTCCGGGGACAGGAAGACTGAGTTTCGTACAACAGTATGGCCACGATCAGGTGCGTATAGGCGGAAACTCGGCGGCTTCCGGTCCGTAGTGGGGCCTGCGGTGGGAGGGGGAAGGAAAGCGGAGGGGACCATGCGAGGTTCTGAGCTCCGCGGTGAGGGTCGCCTCGAGAGACTGTTTCTGAGGTGGGGGCCGGACTGTGCGGGGAGCGAAGGCGGGAGCGGGGATACGCGGGAGAGGTACGGTATTGGGGAAAGACCTGGGGGCTGAGTGTGAGGGGCAGCGTATGGTGGCTTTCTATCCCTGAAGGGGAGTGGGGCGGCCGCGGCTGAGCCGGGGTGGGGGACTTGGCGGGAAGCTCCCATACCTGACTGGCTGGGCCAGGTTTGGGACCGAGAGGAATTAGGAGAGCCGAAGGGTGGGCCTAGGGTCGTTACCAGTCCGAGAGAATGGGGAAAATCAGGGTGGGGTGGGAGGGAGGGGACTTGGTGAAAAATTTCCAACCTGAAGCCCGGGTTTCCAACCCGAGAGGGTGAAATCTGGACCTCATTCCAGGGGCGGCGGGAAGGAGAATGGGTTGTTGGGCGAGAACCTTTTTTGCCTCAGTCTGGGAGTTGGGGTGACCATTCCGGGCGGGTGTGGGTCTGCCATGTGTCTGGGCGAGGGGGAGCAGACGCGCGAGGTGGCGCCCACAGGGGTGTCGGGGACATCGGGGTGCAGCCGGGAGCTGGTGCTGGGATTGGTAGTAAGAAGCAACTTGGCAGCTGTGAGACACAGTGGAGAAACGCAACTGAGAAAGACCGGAAATCACCGTGAGGGGTGGAGCCGGGGAGGAGACTTGGGCTTGGGGAAGGTTTGCCCTCTCTGCCCCCAACACTTCAGGGGCCTGAAAGGCATCTAGGACTGAGTCCTGCAAGAGAGGCGGTGAGGACACTCACCTGCCCAATGTTGGGCAGGACTAGGTGTTGTGAACCCAGGGCAATTGGAAACCGAGCTGAAGGGATGGGGCCAAGCTGGAGGGGCTCTCTCTGAGGCCTCATCCCCTTCTAGCAGGAATTCTGAAATCCCCAGCACTTCCTCCCTCCGGAGGATTTGATCCCCCATGGCCACGGCTAACAGCATCATTGTGTTGGATGATGATGACGAAGATGAAGCAGCTGCTCAGCCAGGGCCCTCCTCCTACCCGCCCCCCAATCCGGCCTCACCCCGGGCAGAAGCTCCTGGCTCCTCTGAGCCCCCTGGGGCTGGAGGAAGCAGTAGTTCCGGTGGCAAGAAATGCTACAAGTTGGAGAATGAGAAGCTTTTTGAAGAGGTGAGCTTTAGGGGAGAAGATTCTTGTACGCGGGTGGCGGGGGTGGGGTTGGGGTGGGGGTGTGTGTGTGGCTTGCTGGCTCTCCTGACCTATCTTCCCCACTAACCCTGCCTTGCCTTCTTTCTCTCAACCCCTTGCCTTGTCTTTTCTCCCCCTCTCTGCTTTTCCTTGAACTCTCAGTTCCTTGAACTGTGTAAGATGCAGACATCTGACCACCCCGAGGTGGTTCCATTCCTCTGTAAACTGCAACAGCGTGCTCACTCTGTGTTTCTGGCCTCCGCCGAGTTCTGCAACATCCTCTCTCGGGTCCTCTCTCGGGCCCGCAGCCGGCCATCTAAGCTGTACGTGTACATCAACGAGCTCTGTACTGTTCTCAAGGCCCACTCGGCCAAGAAGAAGCTGAACCCAGCCCCTGTTGCCACTGCGGCTAGTGAGCCATCTGGGAGTAACCCTCCCACAGACCCCTCCTCAGATCCTCCAAATGCTGAAGCCACTGCCTCTGAGGCTCCAAGGACCCGTGGGTCCCGGCGGCAGATCCAGCGTTTAGAGCAGCTCCTGGCACTCTATGTGGCGGAGATCCGGAGGCTGCAGGAGAAGGAGCTGGATCTCTCAGAACTGGATGACCCAGACTCTACATATCTGCAGGAGGCCCGGTTGAAGAGGAAGCTGATCCGCTTGTTTGGGCGTCTGTGTGAGCTCAAGGAGTGCTCTTCATTGACAGGGCGAGTCATCGAGCAGCGCATCCCCTACCGAGGCACCCGCTACCCTGAGGTTAACAGGTGTATTGAGCGGCTCATCAACAAGCCAGGGCCTGATACCTTCCCTGACTATGGAGATGTGCTGCGGGCTGTAGAGAAGGCAGCTGCTCGACACAGTCTCGGCCTTTCCCGACAGCAGCTCCAGCTCATGGCGCAGGATGCCTTTCGGGATGTGGGCATCCGGTTACAGGAGCGGCGCCACCTGGATCTCATCTACAACTTTGGCTGCCACCTCACAGATGACTATAGGCCAGGTACTGGGTTAGTGGCGGGCTGATGAGCAGCCCTTCAGGTCAGACGCATGATGTGGGCGGGGCGTCTCTATCCCTACTCTGGTTCTGGGCTGAGTGCTCAGACATTCTGTCTTCTAACATAGGCGTTGACCCTGCACTGTCAGACCCTGCACTAGCCCGGCGCCTGCAGGAAAACCGGAGTCTGGCCCTGAGCCGGCTGGATGAAGTTATCTCCAGATACGCAGTGATGCAAGACAAAAGTGAGGAGATGGAGAGACAGAAGAGGAGGGCGCGGGCCTCCCGGGGTGCCTCTTCCCGTTCTGCAGGCTCCCCCAAAGCCTCCTTGGATTCTGGTGAGGTATGGAAGGGGTGTGCCCTGCAAGAGACCCCCCACACACACACACACTGGCCACTGGGGGTCGCAGGGTGGCTCTTGGGGTCATGTGCAGAAGAAATTCAAGAGTCAAACGCTGGGTGAGGGATTCCTTAGAGAAACTCCTCTGCTCCCCAGGGCCCCAGTGGGATAGGGTCTCAGGAGTGCCCGACTGCCTCCAAGGCTGAGACTGATGATGAGGAAGATGAGGGAAGTGAGGAAGAGGAGGATGAGGACGCCACTGATTCTGAAGACAAGGAGGATCTAGAACATCTACAGGAAGCTCAGGGGGACGAGGATGAGGAAGATGAGAAGGAGAGTGCAGGTATGGAAGAGGAACATTCTCCTCATGTGCCAGTCCTGTTGGGCGTGAGCTGTCTTTTGTGATTCTTTTTTTATTCTTTTCCTTTTTTTGTTCTTTGGGACAGAGTCTCACAGTATAGTTTAGAGTGGCCTTGGGCCAGGGATTTAGCTCAGTGGTTCCGCTGCCTGCCTCACAAGTGCAAGGACCCGAGTTCAATCCCTGGTACCAAAAAAAAAAAAGTAGAGTGGCCCTGAACTCTCTGTGTGTCCCAGGCTGGCCTCAAACCTGCAGCAGTCCTCCTGCCTCAGCCTCCTTAGTGCTGGAATTACAGGAGTGTGCCATCAAGCCAGCCTTGAGACTTTTTGTTCTCCTTTTCTCCTGGTTTCTCGGCAGTATTTTCTTCCCTGGTCCTCATGCCACTCCTTCCCTTTTCTTCTTTCCCAGGTAAGGATGGAGACAAGAGCCCCAAGTCCCCAGCACAGGTCTCCACTGAAAAGAACCAGGAAGCTGTCAAAAGAATCTGCAGGGCTTCAGGGGGGCGACAAAACAAACTCCCAGTGTCACCAGCCTCGGAGTCAGAAGAACCCCTAGCCCACTCAAGCGTGGGTGCTGAGAATAATGGAGAGCAGCTTGAAGAGCTGCCCCTGGAGGGAGAGAGCCCTGCGTCACAGCTCTTTGAGCTGGAGATTGAAGCCTTGCCCGTGGACACCACCCCTTCTCCCGAGGAAAGCAACATTTCCTCTTCCCGGAAGCAGCCGGAGGATCCTCTTACTGAAGTAGTGGAGAATGGAGCAGCCACGGTCACCTCCACATCCTTCAATGGAGGTGTCTCTCCTCACACATGGAGAGATCCCAGTCCCCCCTGCAAGAAGTCTCGGAAGGAGAAGCAGCAGCCTGGATCAGGACAGTTAGGAAACAGGTAAGGACACCAGGAGGAGAAAGAAGGACGCTGAGGGGGAGTGCAGGGGACTTCCTGGAGGAGTATCTGGGCTCTGCCTCCAGCCTCAGGCTCCTAACGTCCCTCCCCTCCTTGTGGACTTGTGTTTTGTCCTCAGCATTTTGGAAAGGCAAAGGGCACTGCCCGGGAAGAACACGAAGATCTGCACGCTGCCCAGCCCGCTGTACCCCTTGGTGTCCCCGGCCCCGGCTGCTGATTCCTCTACAAGGGTGGACTCTCCCAGCCACGGCCTGGTCACCAGCTCCCTCTCTAGCCCTGCTCCAGCTCGGTTGCCCCGTGTCCCCCAGTGCCCTCCCCGGCCCAGTACCTACAAGGTAAGGGGCACCTGTTCCTCGCTGTCCGCCTCATCGCCTCGGTCTGCACAGGCACCTGCCTCATCCTCCGCCTCCCACGCCCGTCTGACTCCTGTCTCTCGCTCCGCAGATGAGTGTGGCCACGCAGTGCGACCCGGAGGAGATCATCGTGCTGTCAGACTCTGATTAGCTGCCTCCTCCGCTTCCTGCCCCGGAATGCATTTGTTAACTTGATTTTTTTTTTTTTTTTGGTACCGGGGATCGAACTCGGGTCTTTGCGCTTGCGCAGCAGGCGGTGAAACCACTGAGCTAAATCCCCGGCCCCCGGAATGCATTTGGAGGGTGGTGGGAAGCGAACGGCTCCGGAAGGGACGGCTCGCTAATCCCTTCTTGGTGGTGTTTCTTTTAAAAATTTAGAAACTTAAGTTTTACACCGACATTAATAAACAATAAAATTCTTTTCTTATTGTATTTCTGTCCTTGACCGCCCCCTGTCGCAGCCTGGTATCGGCTGTCTGGCCCAGGGTTGGCCCGGTTCTGGGTAGCCCCGTTTCTGTCCTTTCTAGCCTGGCCCTTGCACATTTCCTGGCACACTTGGACCTGCCGGCCTTCCTGGTCCCCTAAACCAGGCACTGAAGAAAAAAGTGCTACAGCTGTCCTACTGCCCTTTACTTTCTCACTTTGAGCGGTAGGAGAGAAAAGGCCAATCAGGGGCTGGCTCAAGGTTACTCGGCCAATCCAGGCCCGGGGGAAGGGGGCGGGGCTTCATGGGACTGTCAGAAGCTAGGCTGAGGGCTATTAGATCCCGCAAAACCCTAATGGCCACAGCTCAGGGGCGGGGCCTGAGGAGCGAAGGCTAGCACCCTTTACCAATGGGAAAAGGCAGGCTTACAGGATTAAAGGGGAATGAAGGATTCGGCTAAACCAAGTCTTGAGTCCTCTGCAGAAGTGAGGACCTAGTACCTTTAAGGTGGGATGAGACGAAAGTTCTTTAAAGGAGAAGTGACCAAGTCGGCCGAATATTGCCCAGCGGCAAGGGCGGGGGTTCCTGCCTGTGCCTTTAAAGTCGGAGGGGCGGGAGGCGGAGCGGAGGCGGAGGGCGGAGGGAGTCGGCGCAAGATGGCGGCGGGAGGGGCTCAGGCTGCAGCTCTGGCCACCGAGTGAGGGGCGGGGGGTCCGGGGGCGCGCGGCCCGGTAAGCGTGGACGCGCAGGGTTGGGGTGCGCCTTCCGGGTGGGAGAAGAGGCCGAGGTAGTGCTTGGGGCGGAGCGGGGGGGCGGGGTCCGATGTGGGCGGGGGTAGGCTAGGGGCGGGACCGAAAAAGCCCTAGGGGGCGGGGCGTGGGGAGGGTCTTGAAGGGGTGGAGCTAGAGATACACAGGGGGCGACGGGGGCGTGGCCTGAGACCTTAGGGGGCACGGCCTACGTGGAGGCAGAGCCTGGGGTGGTTTTCCTAGAGTAGCAGACCTGACCCCTCTCCCTGCAAGACAAGGGTGCAAAACACCAAAAAGGCAGATTTTGGAAGGTCAGGCTCTCAGGCAAATGGAAAATAGGGTGTAATTTCAAAGGAAGACACCCCAATCCCTGAGAGTGTTGTGTTATTTCTCTGATCTCCAAGTAGTGGGCCCTGAATTTGGGGTTAGGACATCTGCTTTTGATGGCGTTTCACTTAATGGCTGCCTCACCTTGGATAATCACTTTATCTTTCTGAGCCAGTTTCCTGTCTCTCGTGGGCTGGAGATGTACCCATCCCAGTGTAGTGTAGTTACTTAGAAGACTCGCACTTCGTATTTTCACATTGGAATCTTTCTGAAATGTTACCATTTCTCTTTTCTTTCCCCAGAGACCCCCCCGGCCGCCCTCCTCCTTCCTGTTCCTGTGGCTGGGGGGGGTGTCCCCTCTCTCCACAACATGGAGCCGTCTCCTCTGTCGCCCAGTAGGCCGGCCCTGCCCCTGCCTCTGTCGCTGGCTCCACCCCCACTGCCCCTGCCAGCGGCTGCCGTGGTCCATGTGTCCTTCCCTGAGGTGACCAGTGCCCTCCTGGAGTCTCTTAACCAGCAGCGGCTGCAGGGCCAGCTCTGTGACGTGTCCATCCGGGTGCAAGGCCGGGAGTTTCGGGCCCATCGGGCCGTCCTGGCCGCCTCCTCTCCTTACTTCCATGACCAGGTCCTACTCAAGGGCATGACCTCCATCTCGCTGCCCAGCGTCATGGACCCCGGAGCCTTCGAGACCGTCCTGGCCTCTGCTTACACTGGCCGCCTCAGCATGGCTGCCGCCGACATTGTCAACTTCCTCACCGTGGGCTCCGTGCTCCAGATGTGGCACATTGTGGACAAGTGCACTGAACTCCTTCGGGAGGGACGGGCCTCAGCCACCACTACGGTCACTACTGCTGCAGCCCCCTCTGTCACCGTTCCCGGTGCCGGGGTCCCCTCAGGGAGTGGGGCCACTGTGGCCCCTGCCACCATGGGCTCCTCGCGCCCCCATACCTCCAGCCGGGCCAGTGAGAATCAGTCACCCAGCAGCAGCAACTACTTCAGTCCCCGGGAGCCCACTGATTTCTCCTCTTCCTCCCAAGAGGCATTTGCGGCCTCTGCCGTGGGCAGTGGGGAGCGGCGCGGAGGCCCTGCGTTCCCGGCCCCTGTGGTGGGCAGCGGGGGTGCCACGTCGGGGAAGCTGCTGCTGGAGGCAGACGAGCTGTGCGACGACGGCGGCGACGGGCGGGGGGCGGTGGTCCCCGGGGCCGGGCTCCGGCGGCCCCCTTACACACCGGCTAGTATCATGCCACAGAGACACTGGGTGTACGTGAAGCGGGGCGGAAACTGCCCTGCCCCGGCGCCCCTGGTTCCCCAAGATCCAGATCTGGAGGAGGAAGAGGAGGAAGAGGAAGACCTGGTGTTGACCTGCGAGGACGATGAAGACGAAGAGCTGGGGGGTGGCTCTGGGGTTCCCGCGGGGGAAAGGCCCGAGGCTACGCTCAGTATTAGTGACGTCCGGTCCCTGACGGAGCCCCTGGACAAGGGGGAGGAGCAGGTCAATTTCTGTGAGTCCTCCAATGACTTCGGCCCCTGCGAGGGTGGGGGTTCCGGGGCGGGGCTCGATGACTCAGGGGGACCCACCCCTTCTTCCTACGCCCCCACCCACCCTCCACGACCTCTCCTCCCTGTGGACGTGCAGGGCAGCCAGATCCTGGTCTTCCCATCCCCTTCATCCTCTTCCTCCTCCTCCCAGGCTCCGGGCCAGCCACCCGGGAGCCAAGCTGAGCACGGGGACGTGACCCTGGGGGGGACCTCGGCGGGGGGCGTGGCCGCTCCCGGAGGCGCCGGTGGGACCCCCGGCGGGGCGGCCGGTGGGGACGGGAATAAGATCTTCCTGTGCCACTGCGGGAAGGCCTTCTCCCACAAGAGCATGCGCGATCGGCACGTGAACATGCACCTCAACCTGCGGCCCTTCGACTGCCCAGTATGCAACAAGAAATTCAAGATGAAGCACCACTTGACGGAGCATATGAAGACGCACACCGGTCTCAAGCCCTACGAGTGCAGCGTCTGCGCCAAGAAGTTCATGTGGCGAGACAGCTTCATGCGGCACCGGGGACACTGCGAGCGCCGGCACCGCATGGGAGGGGGCGGGGCCGGCCCGGGACCCGGCCCTGGGCCCAGCCCCGGGGCGCCAAGCGGATCCTCCCTGAAACCCAAGAGAGAGTCCTCTGGAGGGGGCGGAGGGAGCGGCGACGAGCAGAATGGGGCCACACCCCCGTCGAGTAGACGCGTCTGGTCCCCGCCCGGCGTCGTCCACAAGGTGGAGATGGAGTTCAGCGGCGGCGGAGGCGCGAACTGAAGGGGCTGGCAACTGTGGTTGCTTTCGGGGCACGATCCAGGGACTCTGGTCCCCGAGTGCTCCCACCACGCCGTCTTCCTTTATCTCTCTTGACTTGTACATATGTTGGAGAAGGAACCATTTTGCACTCTCGCCAGCCCCTTCCTCCCGGGATGTCCCGGAGCTAGGTTTTTCCTTCCCCCAGGGGCGCATCCAGGCCCCAGCCGCGCAGTGGGTGGGGCATCTGGGGCGAGGGGGTCGCGAGTGCCACGGAGTCGCGGGTCAGGGTGTTGTAGTCTGTGCCTGGAGTCTGTGTTCGTGTTGTGGGGACAGCCCGTGAACCCCACCATTGTCCTAGGACCTAGCTCCCCCGCAGGATGCGCCCCTCTCTCCATACCGTCTCCCCCATACACCTCCCACGGGACCCCCAACTTGGTTCTCACGACGGAGTGCGTGGAGACAAGGAGTAAGTCGTAGCACAGGTTTTCATTATTTTTAACGGTGATTAAAATATTTATTGGTCGTTTCACTTGGCTTCCCGACAAGCCTCTTTGCTGGGGGCCTGGCGCAGAAGGGGGAGAGTGGTTCTCGGGGACGTGGATGTTGCGGGGAGGACCCAGGGAGCCCCGGTCTGCGGGTGGCCCCGGAGGGGGTGGCGAGGCTGCGGTGCCCACGAGAACTGGTGAGTCATTCCGGGACCCGCCTGGCCTCGCCTCGGGACGCCCTCGCCTACTCGGAGTGGGGATTTCCCGTGCCCCTCCTGGTGGCTTTCGGAGAAGGCGAAAGTGAAAGGGGAAGAGGCGGCTTCGCGACCGGCAGTGGGGACGGGAGAGCGCAGCGCCATGGAGCCCTTGGGCTTGCTCTTCGCCGTGGCTTTGGGTGAGCGAACCTCGGCTTCTACCCCCGGACGCGGGAAGCGGGGGACGGGAAGCCCCTCTGGCGCCCGGGCCGCGTGCGCGTGCGTTTGCGCAGCGCGGCTCCGGCATCCTGACGGCCCCTCTCCCCCAGGCCTGGCGACCGTGGCCTCGGCCGGACCCGCAGCAATCGAGTGCTGGTTCGTGGAGGATATGGGCAGGGGCGTCCTGGAGAAGAGACCCGCGGCTCTGCTGCTGCGCCGGGGCCCCGGAGGTCCGCCGCCCCGGCCAGACCTGGACCCTAAGCTTTACCTCAGCGTGGACGGTGAGCCTTCCAGGACTCGCCTCCGCCCTTGTGGCGTCTACCGAAACCTCCTCCTCTTTGGATCGCGCAGTAACCTCGGGCCTCAGTTTCCCCCTTGTCAATAAGTCTGGGTGGCGCCAAATCTGTCACTATGGAGCCGTCCGGTCCGTGCTGCTGAAGCTCCCCGAACGACGCCCCTCGGGGCTCTCCCGCCCGACTGTGACTCCGTTTCCGTCCTCGCAGACCCCGCGGGCGCCCTCCAGGCCGCCCTCCGGCGCTTCCCCCGGGGCGCCCCCGCGCCGCTCTGCGAGATATGCCGCTACGAGCCGCTGCCTGCCGCCCCGAGATGGGCTGCCCGCCTGCGCCAGGAGCAGAGCTGCCCGCGGGCCCTGGATGGGGCTTGGCTGATGGTCAGCGTGACCAGTCCGGTCCTCGGCCTCGCCGGCCTCCTGCGATCACAGCCGGGGCCTCAGCCCGAGCCCGTTCTCATCACCATGGCAACAGGTAGCTGGGAAGGGGAGGTGGGGATGGGAGAGCCGACGCTGAGGGTCCAGGTGTGGGCTTCGGTGAGCCATTTCTCCAGTCGAGGATCAGTTTCCTTTTTTGCAAACCGAGATAGCCCGGTTAGGATAGCCCTTCCTGTACCAGTCTTTCGAGCCCTCAACCAGAAAAATAAAAACCCCCGGCAGCTCGGGGGCGGGGCCGCGCGGAGGCGGGGTTCCCAGCGCCAGCCCGGGAACCTAGTGAGGCGCCGCGCTCGGAGGGGCTCGGCAGCAGGACCCTCTCTCCACTCCTCCCAGATCCGTGTCTTGCAGGGTACCCTGGCCGCTGCAGGTCCCTCTATTTCAAAAACCAGCCTTCGCGCCTCTCTCGAGCCCTCGCTTCCGCCGAGGGCCACTTGGCCCAGGCGCTGCTGGCCCTGCCCGGATCTTCGGGCTCCAGCGGGCGGAAGCGCCCTGGAGGAGGTGCTCAGCTCTGTCAGTGAACGTCCGGGAGGAGGCAGGAGGCGGTTTACACAGCCTGGGCTGTCTCTCCGAGGTAGAGCCAGGTGTGAGGTCTTGGGCTCAAACCCCAGCACCAAAACCAAAAGCGTTCTAGAAGCAGAAACAAAACGCCCTTCCTGCTGTCATCTGGTCAGTGCTAGCTCCTGAGCGGTCGGAGTTAGTTCCAGGCCTGGCGGAACGATCGCTGGAGACCTTGTCTCAAAAACCAAAACAAACGAATGAATCACTAGCTCCTATTAAAATTTAACGATTCCCTCAAGGATTTGTTCAAATTACAAAACATCTTGATATATTTTGCTGTTATTTAGTCAGGCTGCTGAAACAGAATACCACGGGCTGAGTGGCCTTACACAACAGAAACGTGTTTTCTCTCTGGAGCTTGGAGTCTCTGATGAGGTGGCAGCGGGGCTGGTGCATGGTGAGGCACCCTCGCTGTGCTCACGGGGCAGAGAGCTTTGGATTTCCTCCTCTCCTGTCACATTAGAGCCTCACCCGAGTCCTCACTTCTCAGGGCCACAGCGCCAGGATGATGGCACTGGAGGTGAGGGCTTCTAACTCGGGGACCCAAACACTCAGTGCATTGGAGTCTCTGGCCCACAACTGTCCCCAGTCCTTTTTTTTCTTGGTACTGGGGATTGAACCTAGGCCCTTCACACTGAGCCCATTTTTATCTTTATTATTGTATTTCCTTTTTGCAGTACTAGGGATAGAACCCAGAGGCAGGCACTCGACCACTATTATTACATCACCAGCCTCCCCCCTTTTAAAAAAATTTTTGAGACAGAGGCTTGCTAAGTTCTCCAGGTAGTACTCAAAATTGTGACCCAAGCCCAGCATGGTGGTGCATGCCTGTAATCTCACCTCGCTGGGAGGTTGAAGCTGGAGGATTGAGAATTTGAGCCCGGCCTGGGCAATTTAGCAACTTGGCCTCAAAATATAAAATGAAAATGGGGTGGGGCTGGACTTGGGGACCCACGAGTATAATCCCAGGATTTGGGATTCTGAGGCAAGAGTATCACTGTGGATTCAAGGCCAGGCTGTACTACATAGTGAGGCCCTGTCTTTAAAAAAAAAAAAAAAATCACTTAAGTGTTACATACAAAACCTTTACATTATGTTTATTAATCTGGTGGATTTTTTTTTTTTTTTTTAAGAATTCAAAAGTGAGTTTCTGGGCCAGGGATTTAGCTCAGTGGTTCTGCCGTCTGCCTCACAAGAGCAAGGACCTGAGTTCGATCCCTGGTACCAAAAAACCCCAACAAAAGTGAGTTTCTGGATTTTAATATAAGAAGTGACTAAAACAATCTCAGGTTGAGGAAAGTTTAACTTTGTAGGTTTCAGAAGCCAGGATTAAAAATAAAATGAATAGCCAGGCACAGTGCCTGCAGTCTCAGCTACTCAGGAGGCTGAGGCAAGAGGGTCATCTGAGCCCAGAGTTCAAGGCCAGCCTGTGGAATATAATGAGACTCCCTCTCAAAAACAACAAGTAGGGTTACGTTTGCAAAGTAAATAACTAATATACTAAAATAAACATAATTACAAGAAAAAGATCACTTCCTCTTGGAAGACCCAGGTATTTCTGGGAAGTAGCAGAAGTGGAATTGACCTTGAAGGACATGGAGCATTTGGATGTCTGAAGAAATTGAGAGACACTGTAAACTGAGGGGATGTCACAACCAAAGCAGAGATGCCTGAGGAGGAGAAAGGTTATTAGGCACAAAAACAGGAATTTATGTGGCGGGGTCTTTTTTTGCCTCTATTTTATTTTTTTTGAGGCAGGGTCTCATGTGGCCCAGGCTGGGCTCAAATTCATGGCAATCCTCCTGCTTCAGCCTTCCTGAATGCTGAGACTACAGACATGTACCACAATGCCTGGCTATGTGGCTGGTTTTAAAGGTAGAAGAGAGGTCTGGAAAGATGGTTTAGGAGCAGGGTTTTCAAGTACCTTGAGGGCTAGGCTTTATTCTGTAGGTAATAATAAATCATCAGAGATTTTTTGAGAGGCAGTCATTTTTCCAAAAAGTCCATTATTTACTTGATTATCACAAAAGTGGGCAAGGGTTGGATTATGGGACTTAGTGAGGAAATACTGTATTTTCCCAAGGGGCCCAGCAAGTCCATAACAGTAAAGTTAATGAAAATAGTAACTGACATTTATTGATGGTCACCTATATGACAGGCCCTGTTCAATACTTTCTATGCATGTTGGAATTTATTCCTCCAAAACAACCATAGGACACAGGATGAATGTTTTTTTCTTTTTGAGACAGGGTCTCCCTATGTAGTCCAGGCTGGCCTCAAACTTTCGGTGATCCTCCTGCCTCAGCCTCCTGAGTGCTGGGATAACAGGTGTGGGCCACCATAAGGTATTAATGTTTTTGTCTTTTTTTTTTTTTGGTACCGCGGATCGAACTCGGGTCCTTGAGCTTCTGAAGCAGGCAACAGAAACACTGAGCTAAATCCCCGGCCCAATAAGGTATTAATGTTATTGCCATATTGCAGATGAAGAAATCTGAGACATGGAGCAATTAGGTAACTCATCCAAGGACAAGAGGCTTGTAAAAAGCAGAGCTTGATGGGCCGGGGATTTAGCTCAGTAGTTCCGCTGCCTGCCTTCAAAGTGCAAGGTCCTGAGTTTGATCACCGGTACCAAAAACAGCAGAGCTTGAAATTGAACCCAGTCTTCTACGTCTTGGTCTCGGCTGTATCTTCAGCAACTGACTTTGGTTAGTAACAGTATTTTTTTCTTCCTTTCGATTGGGTCTCACTGTGTTGCCTGGGATGCTCTCAAATTTCTGGGCATAAGTGATCCTCCTGGCTCAGCCTCCCAAGTAGCTGGTACTACTGGCTAACACCTCCATCCTAGATGGCAGTGGGATTTTTAATCAGATGAGTGACCTGATCAGACGCGTAGCCTCACTAGTTGTCTTGAGTACGAACTGGAGGAGACTAACAGGGAGACTGGGGAGAAGGCTCTTGTAACTGTCCAAATGTACAGTGAGGAGAACCAGCGATGGAAACAGATGTCAGATATATTAGGGCATATTATTTTTGGCTAGACGGTAAGCAATTTAAGGGCAGAGACTGCCTTTTTTTTTTTTTTTTTTTTTGAGGCAGGGTTTCTCTATGCAGCTCAAATGGCCTTGAACTCACTATGTAGCTGAGGGGGGCCTTGAATTCATAGAGATCCTCCTGCCTCAGCCTCTGAGTGCTGGGATTACTTGTGTGTTTTTCAATAGTACTGGGGATTGAACCCAGGGAGCACTAAGCTGCATCCCTAGACTTTTTTTTTTTTTTTTTTTTGAGGCAGGGTTTCTCTATGCAGCTCAAATGGCCTTGAACTCACTATGTAGCTGAGGGGGGCCTTGAATTCATAGAGATCCTCCTGCCTCAGCCTCTGAGTGCTGGGATTACTTGTGTGCGGCACCTCGCCCAGTTTGGGACTGCCTGTCTGTCCTGTACCACTGTACCTTGAAAGGCCTAGGTGCTCAGGAAGTACCTGTTGAATGAGAGGAAGGAGTCTGAGAGACCCCTGGTATTTTCCACTGGTGTGTGTTGGGGGGCTGATGACCACTCATCAAAGGCAGGGACAGTGGCCTTGGACCACAGAGAGGGCGCTGGCAGACACTGCTGAGGGGGTTAATCTGCCTGGATAAGTCTGCCCGACAGACAGGCTCACGTTTGGCCAACACTACTGTAGACTGTGTTCCGCGCACCATTCCAAGTACCTTTCGCATACAGGTGTCACGTTATCCAAGAGGTATTAAATGGGCCAGGTGAGGAGGCGCAGGCCTGTAATCCCAGCATTTGGGAGGCCAAAGCAGGATTGATGCGAGTTTGAGGCCAGTCTGAACCTCCAGGGAAACCTGTTTGGAAAAAAAGCACCAAAGCTGGGGATTTAGCTCAGTGGTTTCGCTGCCTGCTGCGCAACCGCAAGGACCCGAGTTCAATCCCCAGCACCAAAAAAAAAACAGAGAAAAAGGATCACCGGGGATTTAGCTCAGTGGTGCTGCCGCCTGGCTTGCAAGCTGAAGGTCCCAAGTTCGATCCCTGGTACCAAAAAGAAAAAAAAAAAAGCGCCACACTTGAGCTTCAGTGGGCCGTGTTCAGAGCAGGCTTAAAGGGTGGCGCCCTCCCAGCTACACCGGTCCCACCTGTCTTGGGGCAAAGGGGACTTTCAGGGAGAGCTGGGTGCGTGGACTTGGGGCCACATCTCCCTGTTTTCCCTCCCTTCTCCCTCATGGTTCCCCTCCTGTCCCTCTCTTCCCAGTGGTGCTTACGGTCCTCACCCACACCCCCGCTCCCCGAGTCCGACTGGGACAGGACGCCGTGCTGGACCTGAGCTTCGCCTACACACCCCCCACCCCCGAGCCTGCCCCCACCCCGGCCCCAGGCCCCCCTCCCTTTGGGCTGGAGTGGCGCCGCCAGCACCAGGGTAAGGGGCACCTGCTCCTGGCTGCGACTCCAGGGCTGGAAGGACAGGTGCCAGCAGCCCAAGAGGGGGCAGTGGCATTCGCTGCTTGGGACGACGATGAGCCTTGGGGCCCGTGGACGGGGAACGGCACCTTCTGGCTGCCCGCGGTGCGACCCTTTCAGGAAGGCACCTACCTGGCCACGGTGCACCTGCCGTACCTGCAAGGACAGGTCGCCCTGCAGCTCACCGTGCACCGTGAGTGCGGCCTGGGGTCTGTGGGTCCTGGAGAAGAGGATGGGGGAGGGGAGTCAGGGGCCTCGGAGGGGCTGAGAATGTGAGTGACTGTCTTGGAGATTCCTATGAAGCACCAATGGGGAGACAGTGGGTTTCCCATCCCTAGAAATCCCACCCGCTTCAGGGACACCTGAGGACAGACTGAGGGAGGACAGCGTGGATTGAGCCCCTCACGTTTGTCTCTTGCTTGTTCCCCAGAGCCCCCCAAAGTGTCACTGAGGCCGGCTCCCCTTGTTTGGGCTGCCCCCGGGGAGGCCCCCCCAGAGCTGCTCTGCCTCGTGTCCCGCTTCTACCCTCCTGAGGGCCTGGAGGTGGAGTGGGAGATCCGAGGGGGCCCAGGGGGTGGCTTCCAGAAGGCCAAGGGGGAGAGGTGGCTCTCAGCCCTTCACCACCACTCAGACGGCTCTGTCAGCCTCTCGGGGCACTTCCGGCCACACCCTGTCACCGCTGAGCACCATGGCGCGCGCTATGCCTGTCGTGTCCACCACCCCAGCCTGCCCGCCGCGGGACACAGCGCCATGGTCACGGTGGAAGTGGCAGGTGAGAGCCTCGAGGTTCTGTGGAGGCTGGCAGCCCCCAAGAGACAGGAAGCTCACTCTTGCCCTTCGCCCGCCAGGCCTCTCCGGGCCCTCGCTGGAGGACGGTGTAGGCCTCTTCCTGTCTGCCTTTTTGCTCCTCGGACTCATCAAGGCTCTGGGCTGGGTTGGTGAGTTGAGTCCCCTTGGCCATGAGGGGAGGTCACTTCCCCACGGCCTCGGAGAAGCCACAGACCCGTACCTCTGCCTTTGTCCCACCCTGTCTCTGTCTTCCCCACAGCTGCCTACCTGAGCATGTGCAGGGATCCAAAGGAGAAGGTAACAGCCTTCAGTTCCCCTGACCTGTCCCTTCTTCTTTCATTCCCTGTCCCCAACTCATCCCTCATGGGTGTGGGGGGAGGAATCAGACTTGTAATTCATGTGGATCTGGGTCAAGTCTTCCCCTGTATCCTAACTGTAGTGTCCCCCAAACATGCCACTACTGTACATCTGTTCCCTGGATGTGAGCATTTTAAAAAATGATGTAGGCAGTGCTCTTCCATACAGATACAGAGCAAGCATCCACGTGCAGTGGTGCCCGCCTGTTATCCCAACTCCCCCAGAGGCAGAGACAAGAGGATCACAAGTTCAAGGCCCGGCCCTGTCTCAAAAGCCCTAAAAAGGGCTGGGACACAGTTCAGTTGTAGAGCCTTTGCCGAGCATGCTTGAGGCCCTGTGTTGCACCCCCAGTGGCCACCACACTGGTGGCATCTCTGACTACCAGTATGATGGCTGTCACATTGCAAGGTCGTGCCTCAGATGACTCTGAGCAGGGTTAAACGACGTTGTGTGCCTCTTTTAGAAGACAGGGATAAAGCACCCTGTGCAGCATCTAGAGGGCAGAAAATGTTAGCTGCTTCCTTATCCTACCCTCACTGCATCGCTAAACATCCTCACTAACCCCCCAATTCCTCACTTCTTTCCTAATTTTTTTCCAGAAAACACAGTGAAAGCACTCCACCACTATCCTGTGGAAGCCACCAACATCTCTGGCCCAAACCACTGTAGCATCTCCCCCAAAAGAGTACCATCACCTGCTACTACTCCCTCCAAGGGATCCGAAAAAAAATTTTTTTAAGACATAGGTATTGTACTGGGCATGGTGGTGCACACCTGTAATCCCAGCACTTGGGAGGCTGAGGCAGGAGGATTACTGCGGCTTTGAGGCCAGCCTGGGCTACACAGTGAATTCAAGGCCAGCCTGAACTATGTATTGAGCCCTGTCTCAAAAAAAAACACACAGATCTTATAGCATTCATCTTTATAGAGCTCTTAAGGCAGTGGTTCTCAAAATTTTTGGTCTTAAGACCTATGAAAAAACATCAAAGACCTTAAAGACCTTTTGTTATGCGGCTTATGACTGACATTTATTATACTAGAACTTGAAAATGTGTTGGCAAAAATGCCTGTAATCCCAGCATTCTGGGAGGCTGAGGCAGGAGATAGAAAGTTCGGGCCCAGCCTGGGCAACGTAAGGAGAACCTGCCTCAAAAACTAAAAAGGGCGGATGACCTAGCTCAGTGTGCAGCCCTGTAGTCCCTGCACCCAGGAAGCTACCCTGGGGCACCTGGTGAGACTCTGTCTTGAAAAAACAAAAAGAAAAATTTACAACACGAAAAATGCACACAGCGCATTCGTTAGGAGCGCCCTGGTGTCATCGTCCAGTGTATCTTCTGGAAAACTCCACCGTGCGTTAAGAGAATTACAATCACAAACGCAAATCCTACCTTGTTAGAAGAGCCTGGATCTCAAGTAGTCCCTGCCCCAGTCTTGGGGCACTGACCTCGCTTGGAGAACCGCTCTAGGCCCGGATCCACGCTCGTCCACCCTCGTCCCTACCTCTCCAGCCCAGCTGGCCACCCGGCCTCGCCCTCCCTGGGCCGCAGACCGCGTGGCCCTCGCCTCTCCCGACTGCCGCGCGTTCGCCCGTGACGGCTCACCACTGTCGCTTTTAAGCGATCCTGCGCGACGCCGTCAAATGCGCGTCTCCCCTCCCGCTCGCGTCCGGGGCGGAACGTTCCACGCCAGGTCGAGGCAGCGCCCGCCGGAGGGCGCCATTTACTTGCGGGGCCCGGGCCGGAAGCGGCTGATCGTGAGGGAATAAAGCTGTGGTCCACGGCTTCCAAGGGGATCTCATTCTACCTCTTCCTAACCACAAGGAATCTCCGGTTATGTCTGCTCCCTTCCGGTTACCCTGTCTCCCACATGCCTCGGGGACGTCGAGTCCCGTCGGAGCGGGGAGGGCTGGGGCGTCCCTCCCGCAGTAAGAGACGGCCTCAGGCGGCGCGCTCCCCCGGGCAACTGGAAACCCAGCGCTCCGCCCCGCGCGCCGGAAGCCCCGGAGCCCGAAGTGGGGCCTTCCTGCCACGCCCCCTGGCGAGTGGGCGGGGCGCCCGCTCTTCAGAAAACCCGGGATGGATTCGGTCCACTGCACTCGTGGGTTGGGACGGGGCCAGTCACTAGTCCGGTGGTGCCGGGGGTACCCCCTGCATAAAGCGCCGCCCACGAGTTTTAGCCTTGTTATTCTTGGCTAAACGGACGTCAAATTCTGCTCCTGCCTTCCCCCCGGAGCCTGCAGCCTGAAACTTTTTCTTTTGGTTCTTTGAGACGGGCTCGCTAGGTAGCGAAGGCTGGCCTTGAACTCGTGACGATCCTCCTGCCTCAGCCTCTCTGGGACTACAGGCGCGCTCCACCACGCCTGGCTTGGAATCTTGATTCCAATTCAGTGCGGGCGACATGGGCTGCAGGATCCCAGAGCGGGGGCCTGGGGACAGTGGCAGTAGGGCCAGCGCCCCAAGGCCCGACCTCTGGCTGCCCAGCGCTCTCCGAGTCCGCGGCCCTGGCTCCTGTCCTCACTTCCTTCCCCTTTTGGCTCCTGCTCTCGGAACGGGCAGACGCGGGGGGGAGCGGAAAGGGCGGGAGGGCCCGGGAGCGGGGGGGGGGCAGGGGTGCGGAAAAGCCGGGGAAGGTGCTCGGGCGGGGGCCGGAGACCGACGGGAGCAGCGCCGGGCCGCGCCGCCCGCCCCTCCCGAGCAGGTCAGAGCCGATCCCCGGCGCCCCCGTCCGCCCGGGCCCGGCTTTCCGGCCCCGTCCTCCCGCCGGACCCACCCGGCACCTCGCCCACCGGCACCCCGTCCGGCCGCCCCGCGCCCGCCTGACCGCCCGCCCGCACCGTCTCTCCCCAGGCGCCCCATGGCCTGACCCCGCTGACCCACCAGGCCATGCTCCCCCGTCCCCTGCGGCTGCTCTGGGACACGAGCCCCCCGGGGGCGGTCGTGCTGAGCAGCTTCCGGAGCCGAGACCCCGAAGCGGGAGGGGACCCAGGAGACCGGGTCGTGGGCGGCGGGCAGGAGGACGAGGAGGAGGAAGGAGAAGAGGTGAGGCGGGCGGCGGGAGGCCGGGCGGGCATCGCTTCCTGCCGGCCTCAATGGTTCTGCGCCGGGCCTGCCGCCCCCGCTGTGTTCCGTCGGGTGACTCAGGGCCTGCCCGCAGCGACCTGCCCTGTGCCCGCCCGGAATGTGCGCCTGCTTCCAGCCGGCGGTCGGGTCCCGGTCCCGGTCTCCCTCGCGGCTTGTGTTTGGCGGGGAGGGGTTTGTTTCCACAGTAACCGGCGCCTCCGACTCCGGGATTGGGGAGGGAAACCCCAGATGTGTGACCCCTCCCACCCACCCCCGGAGCCAGGTGGAGAGAGGCCTGGAAGCCCAACTTCCGGCCCGGAGTGACGGTCCGGGGCTGGGTAGAGTCCTCATTTGCGTTCCTTTGGGACTAATGGTGGTGGCCAGGAGCGGGCTTTGGGACCTGAGGAGGGGCCGGGAGAGAGATTTGACACCCAGGGGCTCTGAACTCTTGAATCCAGACCCTGGGTGAAAGCAGGGTGACTGGCAGGGCTGGTTTTTCGGGATCGGTCGAGGGAGGGGCCAGGGCCACGTGACTCTGAGTCTTAACACCCCCCCCCCCATCGTCCCCACTTCCCCTTCTCCTTCCCGTACTGGAATTGGAGCTGCCACCTCCGGGGGGTCCTCAGGCTGACAGCGTGGGCCTGGGGAAAGGGGACCCGAGGGAGGACTGACCCTCCAGCCGGCCGGGTGCGGGGGAGGGCGGCGCACATGACTGTGCCTGTGCCTGAGTCTGTGCCTGAGGTCTCGGCTTCCCAAGGCTCCTGTCTGGTTCGCCTCTCTCGCTGCCTCCTCTGCACCCCGCTCCCTGCTGTGTGGGCTCAGCTCTGGGGGGAAGGGGCTCCTGGGGTCTCCAGGCTCAGGGTTTCCCCATTCCATCCACCCTCCCACTGCAACCCTCTCTACTTCAGCGGGGCTTGAGGTGGCTTTGGGGGGGCTGTCTGGGCCCCCGAGGGGGAGACCTGGGGTCACCGGGCCCGCCCACACCTCGAACTCGCTGGTACTGTCCCCCGTTATCCCAGGTGAGGGGTGTGGAGGGAGGAGTGGGCCTGGGGGGACAGTGGGGGTGACGAGGGACTGTCTGACTTCCCCTTCCCTGCTTCTCCAGGCCTCTGTGTCTGTCTGGGATGAGGAGGAGGATGGTGCCATCTTTACTGTCACCAGCCGCCAATATCGGCCTCGGGATCCCATGGTGAGATCATGATTTTGGCTTCTCACCTTTGGGGTTTTGGGTTTTGTTTTGTTTTTTGAGACAGGGTCTTACTATGGAGTTCAGGCTGGCCTTGAACTCACTGTGTAGCCCACTCTGGCCTCAGACTCATGGCAATCCTCCTGCCTCCGCTTCCGAGTGCTGGGATTACAGGCGTGCAGCACCACGCCAAGGACCTCTCACCTCGGATGCTTCACGCTCCCTTCCTCTGGCTGACTTTCTGGCCAGAGCCTTGTGTTGGAGGCCTGGAGTCCAGGACTCTGCTGTGTAATAGGACAAGTCCTTGTCACCTCTGCATCTCAGCAGAAGCCAGGATCAGCGCCCTAGGTCTGGGATTGTCCCCAGACACCTGGGGGCAGGGTCGAAGAGAAGGTTAGTGACTAGGCTGTGTCCTCCAGGCCCCCACGCCTCCGCCACGCTCCTCCCGGCGGCTCCGGGCTGGCACTTTGGAGGCCCTGGTCAGACACCTGCTGGACACCCGGATGCCAGAGGCTGACGTGGCCTTCATGTCCGCCTTCCTGGCCACCCACCGGGCCTTCACCTCCACAGCCACCCTGCTCGGGCTTGTGGCCGACAGGTCAGGGTCACGGGAACTGAGGCTTGTGGCAGGGGCAGAACGTCCCTCCGCCCCCTGGGGGTGGAATGGAGGCCAAGACAGCTCCCCTCCGTCCCCAGGCTGGAAGCCCTCGAGGGCCTTTCCACTGATGAGCTCGAGAGGACGGCAGGGTGAGTGGCCCTGCCCCTCCGCCTCAGTGCCCCGCCCCAGCCGCAGCGGGCCTCTGACCCTTGGCGATTCCCTCCTCCCAGGGCAGCCATCTCTGTCCTGTCCACCTGGTTGGCCTCCCACCCTGAGGATTTGGGCTCTGAAGTCAAGGGTCAGCTTGACCGGCTTGAGAGCTTCTTGCTTCGGACAGGGTACGCGGCAGGGGAGGGTGTTGGGGCGTGCGGTGCTGACCTCATCCGTCACCTCCGGTCCCGGGTGGACCCCCAGGCCCCCGACTTTCCTAAGCCCCCAGCCCTTCCCGGCGACCCCCCTGCTGACCCCACGGATGTCCTGGTGTTCCTCGCTGACCACTTGGCTGAACAGCTGACCCTGCTAGATGCGGTGAGGCCCTGACCTTTGACCCCAGCCCCCGCCCTGCCCCTTTACCAGTTCCTCCTCGAGTCCAGACCCCTTTGCTGGCTCCCAGCCCTTCTTGACCTGGCTCCTAGCCCACCCTGTCTACTGTTTGGCCCTTCCCCCTTCCCGCTGTTATGACCCTCCGAGCCCTGTGCCCCTCTGGTCCCCTGGCCACCTGAGGGCCTCAGATCCCTGATACTGGGAGACTTGCCTCACCGGACTGTGACCTCTAACCTCTGGCCTCTGCCCTACAGGAGCTCTTCCTCAATCTGGTCCCCTCTCAGTGCTTGGGGGGCCTGTGGGGTCACAGAGACCGGCCGGGACATTCCCACCTCTGCCCATCTGTTCGAGCTACTGTCACACAGTTCAACAAGGTGGCAGGGGCAGTGGTCAGCTCTGTCCTCGGTGCCACTTCAACTGGAGAGGGGCCTGGGGAGGTGACTATACGGCCACTCCGACCTCCGCAGAGGGCCCGGCTCCTGGAGAAGTGGATCCGTGTGGCAGAGGTGAGAGGATCGCTGTCCTGCCGGGGGCCCTTTTGTGACCGGGGCCCTCACCCTTGGCTTGCTCTCGGGCCCGCAGGAGTGCCGACTGCTGCGAAACTTCTCTTCCGTGTATGCTGTGGTGTCGGCCCTGCAGTCCAGCCCCATCCACAGGCTTCGGGCAGCCTGGGGGGAAGCAGCCAGGTGTGGAGGACAAGCCACCAGCTCGGGCAGGGCTCCTCTGAGAATGGTGGAGGGAGGCCGGAGGTGGCCGAGCTGGGCCTGTGCTCAGGGCCTCCCTTCCCACTGTCCAGGGACAGCCTCAGAGTCTTTTCCGACCTCTGCCAGACTTTCTCGGAGGAGGATAATTATTCCCAGAGCCGGGAGCTCCTCCTGCAGGTGAGGCCCCATTCCCCGATTCCCAGCTGCCCACATTCCCAACCTGCCTTCGCGCCCCACATCTCCTTGCTCTGTCACTTCAGGAAGCGAATCTGGAGCCGAACTCCAAGAAGGCTCCCAGGCCTGGCTCCCGGGGCAGGGTGAGTGACAGGCCGGGCTGAGCAGGAGTAAGGAGTGTGGGGGTGCGGGTGTAGGCCGAGAGGGCACCGGGGAGGAGGATGAGACCCAAGGCCATGGGAGGGAGGGCTTGGGGGACGCAGGCCCTCAGGCTGCTGGTGGCCCCTGAGCCTTGCTCTGCTCTGCCCCAGGGAGTGGTCCCCTACCTTGGCACCTTCCTGAAGGACCTGGTGATGCTGGATGCGGCCTCCAAGGACGAGCTGGAGGTCAGTGTGTGTGTGTGCTTCAAGAGAGGCTGGGGGTGTGCAGGCACCGGGCCGGGCTGGTGGGCTCTGGTTGTGGTTCTGGTACTAGGGCAGGCTGCTTAGGTTCTTTGGGGCTGGTGGTCTGTAAATGGGAAGCTAGCAGTCATGTTACGGCTGTTATTACGAGAACTAAATGGATTCATATATGTGGAGTGCTTAGAATTCACGTGAAAGGTGTGCATCTATGGCTTATTACAAAAACAGATAGTAGCCGGGTAAAGGGCCAATTGGTTATAATCCCAGCACTTGGGAGGCTGAGGCATGAAGATTGAGGAGAGTTCCAGGTCAGCCTGGGCTATGTAGTGAGTTCAAGGCCAGCCTGGACCATACAGCAAGAACTTGCCTCAAAAAGCAAACAAAGAAACAAAGACACAAACACCAAACCAAACCAACAAAACCCAAACAACAACAAACAAAAGAAGGCCCTAGATGTGGCTCTGGTCGAGCACTTGCCTGCCATGTGTAAGGCCCTGGGTTAGATCCCCAGCCGCAGCAGCCCCGCAGAGAGGGTCTTCTACCTGAGACCCTGATGTAAAGGATCGAATGGAGAGGCGTGGGCAAGGGGGAGAATGGTTGGAGGAGCCAGAGGTGCAGAGTTTTGGAGTTGGAGGTGACTCGGAGGGGCGTGGGCTCCTGGAAGCTGGGGTTGGGACTTCATTTCTGACCTGTGTCCTTGCAGAACGGCTACATCAATTTTGACAAGCGGAGGAAGGTGAGAGGCAGGGTGCCGGACATCTGGAGCGCGTCCCAAGGAGGGGAGTTGGAGGGAAGCCTGGGGGTCCCTGAAGGGTGGCTCCTGCAGTTTGAGGGCTCCTTCCCAGGAATTTGCTGTACTTTCCGAGTTGCGGAGGCTCCAGAATGAATGTCGCGGCTACAACCTCCGACCTGACCCTGACATCCAGCGGTGGCTCCGGGGGCTCCAGCCGCTGACCGAGGCTCAGAGGTGCCTGGCTGAGTGAGGTTGGGCTCGGGCGCCGACGCCGACGGGGCGTGCGCATCCTGACCGCCGTCCTCTGCCCTCCCAGTCACCGAGTGTCCTGTGAGGTGGAGCCGCCTGGTGCCAGTGACTCTCCGGCCTGTCGGGTGCTCCGGCCAACGCTGGTCATCTCACAGTGGACAGAGTGAGTCCGCAGCTGGGGGCTGGTCTCTTGGGGACTTGACGCTTGTCCTCTGAGACCCATCTCCTGCCTCTCCAGGGTTCTCAGCTCTGTCGGGGGCCCCTCCCACCTTGTGTCCTGGGACCAGCCCAGTGTGGGGGGAGACGAGATGTGCGGAACCCCTGCCCCTCTGCTGACCCGGCTGGCCCAGGTGAGCTTGGCATTGACCTCCGACCTCGCGCTTCCCTCTGGACTCCCCACCCTCACGCCTGTCCGTGTTGTTTGTCCCCAGCACATGAAGTGGCCGTCTGTCTCGTCCCTGGACTCCACCCTGGAGGGCAGTCCCTCCCTGCACAGTGCGGCCGAGCCCCGCCTCCTCTCCCCCCCAGCCTCCTCCCCTAGGCCTAACCGAGGTCACCGACGCTCGGCCTCCTGTGGCTCGCCACTGAGCGGGGGCGCCGGCGAAGGGGCCTCCGGGGGGCCCGGGCACGGGCCGAGGGGCTCTGGGCCAGGGGCCTCTGACTGCCGAATCATCCGGGTGCAGATGGAGCTGGGAGGGGATGGCAGTGTCTACAAGAGCATCTTGGTGAGGGCCCGGCTCGCCGGGTGGGCCCTGTGGGCTTGGGGTGGGCAGCTAGCGGAGCGGGTGCTAGTTCGAGTCCACCCATTGGCTTTAGCACTTAGGTTTTATTTGGATGGCTGCTTTGTATTAGCACCTGCGCCTGGAACTTTTGGGGGCCCTGTAAGATTTCTAGAACCAACAGCAGAGAATCAGCCATTTTGTGGGCACACCGTGGGCTGGCTTAGGGGGTACAGGGAGCGCAGATGGCTTTCCTGTACATTTTGGAGAACTGGCTGCGGGTAACTTGTCTCGACTGGGCAGGCAGCTGAGGTTGGCAGGATGGGAAGCAGAGGTCATCATGGCCGATTTACCTCTCTTGTGGTCTCCTGTGCCTCCAGGTGACAAGCCAGGACAAAGCTCCAAGTGTTGTCAGTTGTGTCCTTAAGAAAAACAATCGTGATTCTGCAGTGGCTTCAGATTTTGAGCTGGTCCAGCTGCTACCAGGGGAGCGAGGTCAGAAGCCAGGAGGGAAGGCAGACTGGGGACAGTGCCTGGCAGTGGGGTGCTCCACATCCAGGCAGTGGGGGGCAGTGACCACGTGTGGTACCTTCCTCTCACCCTACAGAGCTGACTATCCCGCCCTCAGCCAACGTCTTCTATGCCATGGATGGCGTGTCCCACGATTTCCTCCTGCGGCAGCGGCGAAGGCCCTCAACTGCCACACAGGGCTCTGCCAGCGGCCCCTCTGCCTCAGGAATCCCCCCGAGTGAGGGAGGAGGGGGCTCCTTCCCCAGGATCAAGGCCACGGGGAGGAAGATCGCCCGGGCACTGTTCTGAGGAAGAAGGCCTGTTGGTCATGGTGCTCATACCAGATGTGGGTGGCCATCCTTCGTGGCGGCTGTTACATCACACTGGGACAGAAACCCCACAAGGAGATCCGCCACCCTGGGGCAGTGAAGTGCCACTTGTTTACCGGACCCTGGGGAGCTGATAATATCGTAACCAGGTTGGGTACCTGTGTACAGCTCCCCACTTCTCGTGAGTCACGTGGCACACTGCTCATGCTGGGTGGACCCATTTCTGGGTCCTGGCACACCCTGGCATGTGAAGGGCCACGGGAGGGCCTCGAGGTGCTGAGCCCCAGGGCAGAGAGGAAGGGCAATAAGTAGGCTCTGAGGGGAGTTCCTTTCCCACTCCGGGGAGGTTCCTGTCACTGTGACAACACTAAGATAATAAACCAAAACGCTACCTGAGTCCTACTCCCCTGTCCTTGCAGTGCGGATGAACTGGCTGCTAGGAGCAGGGCTGGAGAGGTGGCTGGAGGCTGAAGCCATGGGGTCCAACGTTTCCTACTCCCATGACAGGCGAAAAGAAAGGTGCTGGTGGAAAGGGTAAAATGGTTTCCTTCGAACTGTTTACTCCCTCCCAGTAAGCTCCTCACCTCTGGCCTACTCATTCCTAAGTTTTTCTCTACACTTGTTACTTACATGAAGCAGCCGCCATCAAATTGAAGTGATCAGTATGAAGAACTGCTCTATGGGGAAATGTAAGAAACTTAGGACAAATAAATGCTGGGTGTGGTGACCCACACCTGTAGTCGTAGCACTTGGGAGGCTGGAGCAGGAGGATTGCTGCAAGTTCAAGGCCAGCCTGGGCTACACAGTGAGACCCTGTCTCAAAAAAAGATGACTTCGTGGAGAACATTTATCAACTTTGAGAGGATTTTAAATCAGGTTAAGCTATATTCAAGCAGGTCTGGGGATTTAGCTCAGTAGCGTCGAGCCTGCCCTGCAAGTACAAGGTCCTAAGTTTGATCCCCGGCACTGGGAGGAAAAGAATGAATCAAGCAAATTTTAGGAAGACAGGCTGAAAAGAAGTAAAAGAAGCTGGGCATGGTAGCGCATCCCTGTAGTTTTAGTACTTAGAGGAGGCTAAGGCAGGAGGATCACCTCGAGTTGGAGATCAGCCCGGGGTCCATACTGAGTTCAAGGCCAGCTTGTAATACAAAGAGAGACCCTGTCTCAAAAAACCAAAAAGAACTAAAAGAGATCCCAGGGCTATTTGGAAGCTGACAAGTATTCACAGCAAGGAGGATAACCATATTTCATCCAGGGGTCTCAGGTCAGAGAACTGTGAAGTCTTTAAAGCAACCTTCCTAACATATGGTAAACGTTCTCATGCTTCTTAAAGTGCCCCAACAACCAAGGCAAGCGAAGGTACAGAGCTGTTTATATAGAAAGAAGCAGACGTGAGACATTTCAGGCTTCAGTTTCAAGAAAAGACTCGAGGGGAAGGGGAAGCAAAACCAAGTACACATGTCAACTCCTACAGTGAATGTCATCATTATCTACTACAAACGTGTACCAGTAGGAATTTTAAAGACCCAAGAAACGGTTCAACCTGCCTCGGAGATTCTAGTCCCAAGAATCACAACCGGAGTGAGGAAGGCAGACAGAGTGTGTGGAAGGGCTTGGATGAATGACAGAAGCGGCCAGCCACAAAACAGCCCAACATTTTTACATTTTATTACCTACTACAGTACAGACCCAGGAGCTCCCTCATCCCCTCCCCTCCCCTCCCCCCAACCATGGGGTCAGGCCTCCCCAGGAGCCCCTGCCTTCGAAGCCTGGGCCCTCCGGAACTCCTGCTGCAGCTGAGAAAGGGTCTCCCTCTGCTGCTCTGACTGCCGCTCCAGGTCCCGAAGCTGGGATTCATATCGCTTACTGAGGAGAGGCAAGAGAGACAAAGCAGCAGAAAAGGAGAAATTAGGGGGCTTACTACTGAGGGTGCTGAGTGAGGGCAAGAGACTGGTGGAAAACGAGATCTAAAGGAGGGAGAAGGGTGGGTTAAAAGGGAAGGAGTTGGAGGAACTGGACAAGATTGTTCAAAGCTTCTACTCTAGCGACTTAGCTGAGCACAGGGTGGTGGAGCACTTACATTTCGGCTGTGATGTAGTCCAGCCTCTTCCCCACTGTGGCCCGAGCCTCCCCCAGCTCCTGTTTGACCAGCACGGGACCCAGCAGTTTAAAGACCACGTTGGACCCATCCAGGAGAGCCAGTTCCTGACGGAAGAGTGGGACAAATACGCTCACAACCACACCTGGTACAAGCCCCGCCTCCCCCCATAGATCCGTCCCTCACCTCCTTCACGATATTATTTTCCGTTAGTTGTGCCTCAAGCTTCTGCCTGCCGGACATGGATTTACTCAAGTCTGAGGGTGGGAGGAAAGCTATGATTAGGAACATCAGATGTGCCCTCGCCCCGACCCCGACCCTACTGGGAAGAAAATGGACGTGAGGCAAGGATGGGATCCGCGGGCAGAGGAGAATACTAAGAAGGGGAAGCAGCTGTACGCGGAGGCCCGCATGGGGCAGTAAATCTATCTTGATATGGCTCTGGGTTGTGAATGCATTAGGGCGAGGCCACGCCGAACCTGCTCCCTTACCCTTCTGCAGCTGTTGATATTTCTCCACTTCTCCCTGCAGCTTCTTTTGGATCAGTTCAGCCATGGCGAGGATGAAAGCCTGCGGGGAGGAGGGGGCGCTGCGTCTCAAGCTCTGGAAGACAGTCTGGCTCACCTTTATGGCCCGGCCCGCGAACTTGACAGCACTCTTTTTTTTTGGTACCGGGGATCGAACTCGGGACCTTAAGCTTTCGAGGCAGGCGGCGGAACCACTGAGCTAAGTCCCTGGTCCGACAGCACTCTTGAGAGGCAGCTCCTCGGAGCACCGCAGCCTTTCCTCGTCCTGGATATCAACTCTATATTGGTCTCAGGAGCAGAGAAGAAAATGAGATCGCAAGCCTAACACAAATCCTAACCCACTCACGATCGCCTTTCAGTATTAATAAACCCGGAAGTAAACCTGCAATTCTGGGAAAAGATGGCGCCGGAAGTATTTTCGGACACATTCTGGGAAATGTAGTTCTTACATGTTTAATGACTGGCATTCTGCTTAAAAGATTGGACTTGGGAGGTTTTAGGCAAAATGAGAAAGCTAACTCAGAAAAAGAAAATGCACTCTTACTTGGACTTTGGCTTTCGATTTGACTTTTTCATTATTGTGGTGTAAGCTCTCCTAGGGAGAGCCTATCACGACCCTCAGAGGAGAGCGTGCCCTCAGTCAAGATGGCGCCAGGAAGGCTTCAGACCTGGTATGGCATTGATTGGATGAAGGTCAGACGACTTCCGGAAGTTTCCAAGCGGACTGTGGGACAGCTGAGAGTTTTTGCACGTGGGTCGTTGTTCGGGTCTTCGAGATGGAGACGGTCCCTAGGACAGGCAGGGGTCCCCCGCCCAAGAAGAACAAACTTCAGGCCAAGCGGAAGGTAGAGGCCCTGAATGGGAAGGGAAGGTTTTAGCTGTGGGGTCGGGGTGTGGAGTATGAGGCTTTTGATCTGCCCGTAGAAACCGCGGCGATACTGGGAGGAAGAGACCGCTCCTGCCGCTGCCGGGGCCTCTCCAGGGCCCCCTCGCAAAAGGAAGACGAATCTGGCTCTCCACCGCCAAAGACAGAAGAACTCTCCCAACTCAAAGAAGTCTTGGCTCTCCAAGAAATCCCAGTTTAAAAAGAAGTCCCGAGAACTGAAGAAGCCGGGGCCCCAGCGGAGCTTGTCTGGGGTGATCTGGGTCCTGATTGGGTGGCAGGGCAGGTAGCCTTGTGCAGTGAGAGTGGAAGGTTTGGGGTCGACCAGAGCCTGGCTGCTAATTGTCTCCCCTGCCCCAGGCCCAGGACCCATTCCCAGGCCCCGCCCCTGTGCCTGTGGAGGTGGCCCGGAAGTTCTGTCGTATTGACAAATCCAAAACGGTGAGGACCGGCGGGACAGCGGGGAGTCTGGATAGATGGAGTCTGGTTGAGTTGGATGGAGGCTGCATAGGTGGCTCTCCTGTGATCATGCATGTTCTCTGGTTCTTCTACTCCTCCCTCACCAACGACGTTATAGCTGCCACATTCTCTGCCTAAAACCCGAAGCAAACTTGAGGTTGCCGAAGCCGTGGAAGAAGAGATAAGCGCCATAGCTGCTCGTTCTGAGCTGCTGCTCGCCGAGGAACCTGGGTGAGTGGAACCCCAAGCTGAGCCTCCGCAGCTGCCCCTTTACAGGACTCGTTTTTATCTTGCTACACCCACTAGATGGTAGGAAACTACTGCAGTACTGACTGTCCTTCAGGTTTCTGGAAGGGGAGGACGGGGAAGACACAGCTAAGGTCCGGCAGGCTGACATCGTGGAGGCTGTGGACATTGCGAGTGCAGCCAAGGTGAGACTGAGGAGCGAGAGTTGGCGGCTTCGTTGGTGGTGCCGGGCGAGAGAGCAGCGGGGACTGAAGGGGGAGCTACCGAGGGAAGCCCATTCTGTCTTGGTTTTTCCCACTCTTTCCTTTCCCAGCACTTTGACTTGAATCTACGGCAGTTTGGACCCTACAGATTGAACTACTCTCGAACCGGGAGGTAAGGTTGGATCCCTGTGACTGTGCTTAGGGGCTTGAACTCAGGGCCTTTACTGAGCATGAGCTCTGGCACCAAGCTTCACCCCAGCCTCCAGTGACTCTTTTTTATTTTCTTTTCTTACTGTTTTTTTCTTTTTTTCGTTTTTTTCCTTGCTTGGTTTGCTTTTCTTTTCTCTTTTTTTTGGTACAGGGGATCGAACTCAGAACCTTGTGCTTACAAGGCAGGCAGCGGCAGCACCACTGAGCTAAATCCCCAGCCCTTTTCCTTTCTTGTGGTGCTGGGAAGTGAATCCAAGGCCTTCACACTGAGTTGCATCCCCAGTTCTTTTTTTAACTTTTAATTTTGAGACAGGGTCTGGCCGAGTTGTGAAGTTGCCCCGTCTGGGCTGGAGTTTGCAGTGCTCCTGCCTCTGCCTCCTAGAGTACTAGGCTCACAGACTTATGCCCCGTGTCCCTCTCCAGTAACTTCTCAACTGAGAGGTGGCCCTGTTTCCTCAGCTGCACCAGCCCTGCTCTTGACTGTACTGTGCATTTGGGCTGTTGATGAGGTGCATCCACAGGAGCACATCTCCTGTCACCTGGAGAGGGGCTGGCATGGGTCTGAGTCCAGGGGTCCCTGCCGCACATCCCATCTTTCCCCCAACAGACATCTCGCTCTGGGAGGGCGTCGGGGTCATGTGGCTGCCCTCGACTGGGTGACAAAGAAGCTAATGTGTGAGATCAACGTCATGGAGGCTGTGAGGGACATCCAGTGAGTGCCCTCTGTTGGTGGTCAGCAGGGGTGTGTGTGTGTGTGTGTGACACTGGCCTTTCCTGATTGAATGACAGCCTGTGACCCCATACCCCATGGAGCTGCCCCTTCCCCAGGTTTCTCCACTCAGAGGCACTGCTTGCCGTGGCTGAGAACCGCTGGCTGCATATCTATGACAACCAGGGCATAGAGCTCCACTGCGTCCGGCGCTGTGACCGAGTAACTCGACTTGAGTTCCTGCCCTTCCACTTCCTCCTGGCCACAGCTGTGAGTTGTCGTGGAGCCCTTGGGAAGCTCTTTCTCCCGGAGACCTCAGAAGTGGGGACACGGATGGCAGTCAGGACTCAGTGATTCTCTTTTGCCCTCTCAGTCAGAGACAGGGTTCCTGACCTACCTGGATGTGTCGGTGGGGAAGATCGTGGCGGCTCTGAATGCGCGGGCCGGACGGCTCCGTGTCATGGCCCAGAACCCTTACAACGCTGTCATCCACCTTGGACACAGCAACGGTCAGTCTCTGGCTCCAGTTTTTTTCTTTTTGAGGCCAGATTTCTCTGTGTTCCCTAGGCTGACCTCAAGCTCCTGGGCTCGAGTGATTCCCCCTGCCGCAGCCTGCTGAGTAGTGGGGACGGCAGGCTTATGCCCCCACACCTAGCTCCTGGCTTGGCTCAATTCTCTGAGCTTCCACTCCTGGTTCTGTTCTGTACTTGTACTCCGCGAGGGCTTTAAAATTACCCTTTTACTTCTCTGCCTGATTGCTTCTTGGTCTCAAGTCCCCATCTTCCCCAAGTGGAATCATCTCAGGGTTGGGTTTATTTTAGTAACTTGATTCCCTCTCACTTCCAGGTACTGTCTCTTTATGGAGTCCATCTGTGCAGGAGCCACTGGCAAAGATTCTCTGTCACCGTGGTGGTCTTCAGGCTGTGGCAGTGGATTCTACGGGCACGTAAGTCACTTGTTTGGGGTGAGACTTAGGAGCCCAGGTCCTGCAGTCCTGGTGTCCATTCTTGTCATGTGGGCACAGTGTGTAGCCTCTGTGTGCCACAGTGCCCTGATCCTGAGAGCGGGGACATGAGTCTAGTTCAGTCAGTAGACTGTTTCTCTACAGAGCCAGAGAGTAAGGATGTTAGGTGTTTCAGGGGAAGAGGAAAATCAAAGGTATTATGTAGGGCCTTAAATACCAAGAGAAGAAACAATTTTCACAGATTTTTAAACAATGATACTTTTCTGTTTTTTTAAGACAGGGTCTTGCTTTGTAGTTCAGGCTGGTCTTGAACTCACTATGTAGCCCAGGCTGGCCTTGAACTTGCTACGATCCTCCTGCCTCAGTCTCCCGAGTGCTGAGATTATAGGTGTGTGCCACCACACCCACATCCGGTGTACGCAATGAAATTTAAAGATGTAATGCAGTATGATATTCTTGTAATATAGGTTCACTAAGTGGGAAGAATTGAATTTCTCTTACTGAGGACCCCATTTTGCTTAACTAAAGTTCAAGGCTAGTCTCCCAGATCTCAAACGTATTTGTGAATGTTCCTCTGTTACTGGATCTTTGTTGTTGTTGTTGTTGTTGTTGTTGTTTTTCTGGTACTGGAGATCGAACTCGGACGAACTCGGGACCTTGTGCTTGCGAGGCAGGCGTCGGAACCACTGAGCTAAATCCCCGGCCCTTTTTTTTGTTGTTGTTGTTTTTTGGTTTTTTTTGGTACTGGGGATCGAACTTGGGACCTTGGGCTTGCACAGCAAGCGCCGGAACCACTGAGCTAAATCCCTGGCCCTGTTACTGCATCTTTGGAGACGTCTTTTCACAGGTGGGAGATAAGACAGGTTGTGTGTGAGGTGTCCAGAATGTTGTCAGGTTACATGGGTGTCACTGAGACCCTCAGTGTGCCATGTGGCCATGCACATTGACAGGTGTCATCTGTAGTCTCGGTCATGAGCCTTTGTGGTCTCATAGGATGAAAGCCACAGAGAAGTAAACGAATAAGTGTAGCTGGATTCCAATAAAACTTTAAATTCATATAATTTCATAAAATTTTTATATGTGTCAAATTATACTGGCCTCAAACTTGTAGTGATCCTCCTGCCTCAGCCTTCTGGGTGCTGGGATTACAGGTGTGCACCACCACATCTGGTTTCTTTTAATTCTTTAATCGCATGAAAAGGTAGAAGCCATTCTTTCTTTGGTCCTGCATAAAAATAGATGACGGCCTGGAGGTGGCCCTGGCCAGCAGTTGGCCGAGTCCTGGCCTAAAGCCTCCAGAAGTTGGCTGAGTGATGGCATGCAGAGCTTTCGGCAGGACGCCTAGCAGAAAGCGCTGTGCGTGTCTCCTCTTCCCCCTGACGTAACCACGACTCCAGATCTAGCTGGTGACCACGGCTGGAGGGGTGCACTCCCCGTGAGTTTATTTCCTCTGAATCCTTTCGTCTTCTGGGCACTCTCAGGCATCTGCTGCAGGCTGGGCTCTGTGCTGAGCTGCTCAGGGCTGCCCTGCTGTGCTGGATGTAGCTGGAGAGAGAGCTTGGCCAGGTGGTGCCTTAGTTTCTACTCAGTTGTCGACTGTCATCCCAGACTTAATGTGTCACTTCACTCCCAAAGTTTCTCCTTTCTCACTGGGGATGGTGGCACATGCCTGTCATCCCAGC